AAATAGTATATCTGTTTTGGCCATTTTGGTCATAAATACGGTATGGTTTTTGCACTCTAGTCTTGAAATGAGTATGTCTTTAAGAAGAAGTTACTTTTTCATCATTAACGATAACACCATCAACAAACCGCCCTCAAAAATTATGTTTACGGCAATTTAACATTGGTCTGAACTAGGGAGCTAGGGTATTGATTTAAGGGTCAGGTCATAAGTAGGGTATAAAATTTTTGGTCAGGTCATAAATAAGGTAGGGAAAATCGCAGATTTTGGTGATATATAGGGTAAGGGTTTTGGGAAGTGGGCCGCACACCCCCACCGAATTTTTCTGGTAGTACCCACCGGGATATAAGAATACACTTAACTCGCCAACTGAAGATAAGTATAGGTAATCGTATCAATGCGAGTGCCATTAGTGATTTACAATACGAGTTGAAAATTCGTTCTCAATTTGAAAGAATTTTCAAATATCACGAGTAGTGTAAATCCTTCATTTGCTCGAGCTTTCATACGTGTTAATTTGCACTGCAGTGCAAATTAAAAATTAACGATAATTAATATAAATTGGCCTGCTCTTAGCCAATCACAGTGAAGTAATTTTCTCAGTCATATGATAAACAGAGTTACTCGATAAATCGAATTCGTCAATGACATGAGATTCTTCTCGTCCGCTGTCACTGCTGCCATATGAAAGATGGAATATGTAACAGTTATATTTGCAAAAGCCTTTGTGAATATCGATGAATTTTACCGATACGAAATCGAGGCATTAGCTGTGGAAAATCATTTTATGTAGAATTCTCACAAGTTGAATTATTTTCATGAACTGTCAATCTTTCTCGGCTGGAGCATTGTTGGAGTCGAGGCTAATCCAAGATTTCAGGGATTTTTTTCAATTATCATTTACCAATTTTAAGTGAAACTGAAGTAGATAATTGTTTCATCCGTGGCGAGAACATATTTCAAGAACTAACAGAGAGCTACATCGTACTGAAGAAATGAAATATAATGAGCTAAAACATGTATTCGCACGACATGGTACTTGGCTGTACATTTCTATTGTGATTTACTCTATAATAAATTTACAATGCTGAGGGTATTCTAAACTTTGAGTAAGGTAGCCGCAAAAAATCGTCTGGGTTAATTAAGCAATACACCACAAGTTTTTATAGTTTATAGGCTGATAAACCACGCGGGATGTTGGAAGAACACGAGAAGAATTCGTAAATCACAAGCTTCAGGCGAGTGATTTACGAATTCTTCGAGTGTTCTGCCAACATCCCAAGTGGTTTATCATGCCTCTGAAGCATGAAAACTTGAAACTTGTGGTCTATTGCTTTTATATAATAATTCAGAAGACACGCGAAATTTCCATGAGTTTACTGGCACAATAAACCATACCTAATTGTCGCTGATTGATCAATCAGAGCGCGCGCATTCATATAATTATTATATAAAAGAAAAATAATCTTAACGTTATTGGATCGGGGATGCCAAAAGTGTCCGATAACCAACGTTTTCTAAAAACTAACAGAGGTGAAACGAATATACATCCGAACAATATAATACTGAATGGATTTTGCTAACACATAATTTCAAAGAAGTTCGTCTTCTAAATCCTGATTGGCGCATTATTGGAGCAATTAACATGCCAATTCTATGCTCAAAACGCCGCCATTTCATCTCACGATTATACAAGAAAAGTCTACTTTCGGAAACGGGAACGCAGGTAGCGACCAGAACTAATTATATGCAAGAACCTCATCAAAACAGCTTTTAAAACCCTTAGCCAAGTCACGATCTATCTCAAAACACTAACAACCAGCCATTATCTTAGACCACATAAGTAATATATCAAACACGAAAGACAGTGTCCAAACACCGAGAAGAGAGTTGAAAATGCGACGCGTAGCGGGGTTTATTTGAGGAATGTGGAGATGTTTAAAAATTTGGTCAAACACTGTGCTTGACATACATCTTGTCAAATGAACTTAAAACTAAGGAGAAAAACAAAGAAAATACAATGGTGAAAATCTGTGCTAATTAAGATCAATATCCAAACACCATCGTGGTCATGATTTCCGTTGTTGAAACTTGATGAATTAATTAATGATTTGGGAAATTCAGGAGAGGCGCGGTGGCCTCATGGTTAGTGCGCTCGTCTTCGGATCGAGCGGTCCGGGTACGAGCCTTGGCCGGCCAGGATCACTGCGTCGTGTTCTTGGGCAAGACACTTTACTCTCACAGTGCCTCTCTCCACCCAGCTGTATAAATGGGTACCAGCAAACTTAATGCTGGGAGTAACCCTGCGATGGACTAACATCCCATTCAGGGGGGAGTGGAAATACTCCTAGTTGCTTCATGATACAGCAACCGGGATAAGCTCCGGCCTGGTGGAAGACTTGGCTCGTTTGCAGATTTTACCTTTACCTTGAGAATTCATGACGAAAATATCGTTATATGTACGCGGGTACTTGCTGAAATTCAAACCAGTCGTCATAATGAGGAATATTTCACGCATGAGCTACTCCTTTTATCTACTTAATAATAATTAATAATAATAATAATAAAAATGGTGGTGATGATGAAGAAATAATTTAATTATATTATGGTCAATTCCTGAACTCTCAATAACTCTTGAACGACTTCGTTCGCTGTCGGCCGCTGCTGTGGGTTCATGGCTTGACATCTTGTCATTACTCCCTCAAGTTTGCTCTTCACAAAACTGCTGCCGTCCACGTCGCCGAGAAGCCTTTGCGCTATGACAGGAATCTTCCAGATTTCAACTTTTTCGTCGCTGTCTGATTCAGATAGTCCCCTTTGCTCTGGTGCAAACCATGAATTTGATTCCCTGGCGAATTTGTGGTTGCATACTATTCCTTCGACCTGCCTGGCGTCTGGTGCGTTATCCAGGTCGTTCACTACCAGGTGAAAGTCATCGGTGATCAAGTATTGCGAGAGTAACTTACCTATTGTAGCAGAATCGCACAACACACGAACTCCAATTGAGCTGTTGTGCATGTAGCTCATGATTTTGACATAATCCACTAGCAGCTGGAACCTTGTCTGTATATTGTTGAAGTGAGAGAACTCTGGCTTTTGAAGAAGCCGACCAACAGTTTTTGTCGAGCCGTGTTTGTAATACATAGTTACAATCTGTAAGAAAACAGCAAACACTTATAGTTGCTTTTTCACTTGCTTATTGTATCTAAAGATTTCGCGCCAAACGTTGCCATGGCAATTTTATAATTTCACAAGTGAAATTGTAAATTAACGCTGAAATTTCGCACTTTTAAATGTTTAAGAGTAATTTGTCACCCATAACACGTATTATTGTTAAATATATAACAGTATAACTCACCTCAAAGTTTTCATAACACTTTCCGATGAGACGAGTTACAAAGGGACTTTGAAGTTTTTCCAAGATGGTCATTCCCCGTAAACAGCGCTTTGTCACCCCTGGCCGTAGACACTTTAAGTACACAACTTCATGGTCTTTCCAGTCCGCCAGCCAGATTTGTTTGGTAAACCCGCCTAGAATCCGCCGTCTACTATGAACTTGTGAGGCAATTTCTGAGCAGTTCAAGAACGGCTTACATTCAGTCCAACCAGGAAAGCTGAACGTTCCGTTGGGGCAGGGCAGGCAGCCATTGGGCGATATAAACATGCCTTCTGAACACGCGGTCGCGTTGGCTTGTTTCTTTACGTGATACGCCATGCCATTCGTTTGGGTCCCGTTACTCGTAAAAATACTTAAAGTGGCAATGGGCGTACGGAGGAACGCACTGATCACGAACAACAAGGCCAAAGAAACTGTCGTGAGACACAGAACAACTTTGCACAAACTTTTCGGTCTGTTTCGTATCTTTGTAAGGGAACACATCATAATCATGAGTAGCATCGCGTGAGTGCAAATTTACATGAAACTTGTTTTTAATACATCTTTTTTAAAAAAAATATTGAGAAAACCTAGCAACCAGAAGGTATCACGCTTAGCGTTTATGTTCGCCCAGTATGTAAATTATTAGGAGAAGTATCACGAGTAAAACTTAGCACAACTCGAAGCGCTGTCGACAATGCCAGTTTAATTATATTTCTTTTGCTGAAAAATAAACCAACGTACTCGAATGGCTATCCTAATAAAATGTTTCGCGCCCATCGTTTCAAAGACCTACAGACCCGACTAATACGACCATTATAATTCGATTCTTTGTGTGTTTAGAACGAGCGGCATCAAGAAATTTGTCACTGCTCGACATTGCTTTGTAATTGGAATCTCCGCCAGTTGATGTAACGTTCTGGGGAAAAAAAAAATGGTATATGACGCTATATGAACTCCTAGAGAGAAAACATCGCTCTATGTGCCTTTATATTACTCAGTTTAACGGGTTATATTCACTGCTGCGTTTCTGAGAATAAATTTTGATTAAAAACGTTTTTTTTTTTCTGACAAAGTTTAACTCACTTTCTCAGGAACTGCGAATTTCAATTTTCCTTGCCACTCGATAGTCATCTATTGGACTATACCTTACAAAACGCCACAAATAAGACAGAAAGTCAAGCTTTCATGAAATTAATGGAATTAATGAGTTACACCAAGTTATTGTGGAAAATTTCAATTGCAAATGTGGACACGTTGCTTTATTATGAATTATGAGTTTTCAATGGTCGAGTCGAAAGCGCATTAATTGTTGTAGGATGATAATTTCTTTGATAATTTTTTTGTTAACCATAAAGTAAAGAAGAAACAAACCAGGCACCTAAAAGCACAATTGGGTGTTGTTGGCATAATGTGTTTCGATTCCTAAGAAAAATTACTGTCCTCATCCCGAAGCATCGAGTTAACGTGTGTCACGTGTGCCCTCCAAGAATAAAACTTTGCCTTTGACGTTTTAAAAGACAAAGTTATTGTATTATTGCATGGTTTTCAATTTACATTCTTGTGTGGATGCTTACGGTTGGCTAGGCCGTGAGATTGAATTTTTGCCTTGCACAATTTTTTTTTTAAGGCAGTGCCTTCAACTGAAAATAATACTTAAAAGCGCATGTCATGGAAGTCAATACCACTCTTGTTATTCAGTTCTGTTTGTAAGCGACTTCAGTGTAAAAAAAGATCACCGATTCAAAACCGGTCGAACAGGTCTTCTATTACATTACGAGATAACTAATTCATCATTTCAATCAAATATATACGATTTTAATACTAGTTTGAGCAGAGAAGAGCTGGGGCATATAAGCGTCATATATGAATCATTTTCCGTCCACGTGGTGTATACACTAAGACCGCGATGCATGATTGTACCGAGTTCCAACACGGCGGAAGATTGTTGTGACGCACCCGTTTTTCTGCGGTATGTTTGTTCATCGTTTTCTTGGCTTTCGCTATGCCTTCTCCCTGCCGGAATGTTATACTTGTAAAACGTGAGAATAGATAAGGCAGATTTCGGCATCGAAGTTCTAACATAGAGAGCTTGTCAAGGTAAATTATGGCATTTCTTAAAAAAAAAAAAAAAAAAAAAA